TTTGTTCCTCAGGTGTCCCTCATTTTTCAGAACGGCAACGGCTTGACGTGCCCGGCTCATCCCTCACTTGACAGTACCGCCTACAAGATGACGCCGCCGTATAGAGTCTCCAGCCGGTAAGTATGAAAGGACTTCCGTTCTTTGTTAGCTCTGAATTTGTTTGTTATACGATTACTAGTTTGAATAATCTACCCTATTTGGATCTTGCAGAAATGGGTAATCAGTTAAGCATAGTGATTAGTCTGAACAAAATCGAGTAGTCTGTATCAGTTCTGACCTTGGAATAACGTCAAGTGCATCAGTGAGATAGCTTTGACCCTGAAGCTGATTGGATTCCCGTTTTCAACTCCCAGCCATACACCCCATCCAAAAAGTGATTATAAGATGAACCGGAATCTATGGCGATACCAATTTTTAAAAAGCTGATAAATCAAATTCTAATGATTTTGTACAAAGCAATCAGTAAAACTTTCATTCGAGTGACCTGGTCTTTGGTATAGTAGTTGCAGCAAGCGAGTCTTACTTGACAATAAATAGACCTTTACTTTTCCCGTAGAATGGGCCATACAATCGACTCCTTGTTACTATGCATGAATCGTTCAAACGCATACGTGCTCTGAACATTTGGTTCCGGAACAACTCGCGATCACTCCTTCAAGTCAGATGATTTCAGCAAATGGTACCGTTGTCTCGGATGGCTAGTCTCACTCTGGGAACATAATATGCACTGATGTGGCATTTTTAGTCATTACATTTTCCCATTCCATCAGTGAATCTCACTGATTCCCCGAAAATTCAGCATTCAGAACCCTATTATCAGCCCGTATTAGACGTTAAAGACTCTTGTTCATTTCAATACATTCAGTGCTCGGAGAATATTCTCAAACTGAGACATGAAGTAAGATAATTAATTGCATTTTTCACTTTTTCTAACTTCATCAAAAAAGTTGGGTGTTAACTTTTATGCTGTTAGATTTCTATTTTTATTCCTCAAGTTGTTTGAAAACAGTATCAGAAATAGAACCTGTTCAGAAAATTTACACCTCTTAGTGTTCCCTTGTGAAACTCCGCGATTTTTACTATCTTTCCAGTCCAAACATGGCTGTTTGAACTTCCAAAAAGTCAGATTTATTGCACCATCAAATAGGGACGTTTTCGAGAGACTAGTCATACAGTTAAGACATATGTAGTTACAGTTTCTTTTTCTCCCCAGATCAATCAACAGCCGCTGAACTGGTGCTGGTTCGAAATCCTGTGATTTATGATTCTTGAAGCTTAGTGATTTCTAGTTCGACCACTGGTTTTCAGCTTTACAATTCTACCACTGATTGTTTTCGATTCTGAGCAGAAATCCTACCAATCGAAGCTTAGACAGCGAAGATAGGCCATCTAAACCCCGGAAACCAGCTCTCTCAGCTGCATTGAAGTTTCTAACAGTCATCCTTTTCATCGTGGCAGAGCAGCACAGCTTTTTGAAGCCAAAGAATCATTTATTGTGCTTCTTAGGATTAGATGTTTTTCAAGGATTTGTAGGTAGCTGAGAAGATGAAGGTTGAGATCAGGGTTTCGATTGCACTACCACCTGACTGTCAAAGCATCATTTATTTATTTATTTATTTATTTATTTATTCACATACAGTTTTATAAGTCAATATGTGTTTTATGTGTGAAGCAACTGTGATGCATGTGAAATTCGATCAAAAGACCATGCATAGAAAAGCGATTTTCCTCACCACGATCCTTTCGGATTGTTCAAGTCTATGAAGTTTGCTCTATTAAATTCGAGTTGTTGCAAGATTATTTCTTCATTCCCATTTCAGGGAGGAAGATATCATGGCTGAGATCATTACCAACGGTCCCGTACAGGCCACATTCCTTGTACACGAAGACTTCTTCATGTATTCTGGTGGTGTCTATCAGCACACTGAACTTGCTGCTCGCAAAGGTGCCGGCTTCACGGGACAAGGATATCACTCTGTTCGCATACTTGGGTAAGAAAACGAAGCATTTTGCAGGGTCTGAAGTGGTCCATATACTTTCGGAGAACTATGAAGAAGTCTTTGTTGTCTCATAAGTCTGTATCCGCTAACTAGTTAGCAATTCTATCAATAATCCTCTTTAATGCGAATTTGATCGTTTTCTGGTCCTAGCAACTGCTCACAGATCAGAAAGTTGCTTACCTGACATTGCCTCTTCTGAGGAGGAGATTTGAAGATCTGCTCTGTGTGTAGAACAGTTCCTGCTGAGCCTTCGTTTGAACTTACTGTGGCATTCCCCTTTTTGACCCCTTGAGTGAAAAACGAACCTCATATGGTCATATATGCTGATTTATCGGTTTCAGATGGGGTGTGGATCATTCAACAGGACG